CTGGCTAAATACTTATTTTCCACCATTATTTGCAAAAAAATTCTTTAAAAGTCAGACAAAATGATTTTCTCAATTTTTTTTCACATTTTGTCTCTAATAGTTGAGATCTACCTATGATGTCAATTAAAGGCCTCTCTCATCTTTTTAAGTGGGAGAACTTGCACAATTGGTGACTGGCTAAATACTTATTTTCCCCACTGTAAAAAGCACAAAAATTTGATTAAATTCTGTTTATTTTTATGCAATCAGAAGAACTGCATTTATGTCACATTTCTTCTTTTGTCCATTAAGAATGAATTAAAAATGGATACCATATCAGGAAATGAAACATCGCGATATTTCAGTGTATCGATGTTTTTCTCACACCAACCACAACCACACCAATTTTTAAGACGTCTGTAAAAAAAACTGTTCAATCTGTAGTCAGGTTTCTGTTAGCCGAGGTGGCGGCCATCTTTAACTGAGCGTTACTTTGTAAGAGTTTTATTACAATTCATTCAGTGGCTCACAAGATATTTTACTAACAGACACATGGGAGTAGATGCCAAAGATGTTGTGCAACTTAAAAGGCTCTGGGTGTGTTCAGGATGACTCTCAGCTACTGTTAGGGCTGTGTTTTGGCAAGAATTTGGTGATATTATCACGATACAATATATCGCGATATATTGCAAGCAAGTTCACACACTGCCATTTTTTTTCCTCTATAAGATTCTAATAAAAAAAACACTCAGTATAAAGAGCACAAAAATTTAATTAAATTCGTGTTATTTTGTGCAATCAGAACAACGGTTTTTATAGTTCACATTTCTTCTTATTAAGCTTTAATTAAAAATTGTATCGGAAAATGAAATATCGCGATATTTCAATGTAATGATATTTATCTTACACCCCTACATGATTTTCTGTTTCATTAAAATCCGTATGTTGTGTATTTATTTTTTTAAATGAAGAACATTATTGATGTTTTTGTTCATGAATTTGTCATTGAAAAAAGTTTGAGGACAAGATGTTTTAAGTGAGCTGTCAAGTTTTTAACAAGCAGATTTAAGAACCACAGGCTGAAGTTGATAAAGTTGTTCATAGCTGTTTTAATTATTTATTTATTTCAGGGTTTTTGTTGTTTTTTACCTGGAAGAAGTGGCGACGAAGTCTCCGTCCAGCAGCCGCAGCTTGCAGAACAGAACCCCGTTGACAAAAGGCACGGCGGTCAGCTCCTCCAGGGTCAGCTGGGTCTGGAACTTGAATTTCTTCTTCTTCACGAAGAAGGCCATGATTTAACTCACCGCACTGACAGAGATGACGAAAAGGCTGCAAAAACCAGGACGACCCCGAAACAAACCGCTGCTGTTTTTATTTATGGAGACTTTTCACCACAAACCCGCTTCTTCGTCTTCTCCGGGCGGCGAAATCTGAGAGAAAAAATGTTTGTTTTTTTTTAATGAGAAATCTCGGTTAAAGACGAGAAACCCACGGAGGAAAATGTTTAAAACGTGACGGGAAAACTCACCATGAAACATCTCGACTTCTCTGAACCTCGGCAGCGGACAAAACAGTGTCAGAAAAGACGCTTCACTCCCCCTTTTTCACTGCCCGGAGACGAGAGGAGGAACTTTGTTGTTAGCAGCGTCAAGCTAACCGAGCTAACAAATGGCGTCAAGAACGTTTCCGGTGAAATTCTTTCAGCATAAAACAAACAAACCTACAAAATAAAACGTGCATTTAATCTTATTTTCATGTACTTACTCTCTGTTCAATTCATTAAATCATTATTTAGTCATAAAATAAAATATTCTGTCGTAAGAATTTATATTGGAAAATAATTAGGTTATCAAATTACTTAGTTTTCAACATTAAAATAAATATTTGGAATGGAAATAAGCTTTATGCTTTATTGTGTTATCCATTTGTGTTAATCTTATTGTGTTTTATGTGCAGTACCATTTACACGATAAATAAAATGAATGAAATGGGAAATTTTAATCAGAAAACTAGTGAATTATTTTGCTAACAATTGCAAAATATGCAGAGAATTATGTAAAGAACAGTGATTTGCTCTTAAAATTAGTTAATAATAAAGACAGGAGAACTATTATGATTGTAGAAAAAATATTGAATTTTATTGTTTTAGAATGTAAATATTTGTTTTGATTTTTAAGTGAGACAGATATTAAAAATATTTTTACATTAAAACAATGTTTTTTTCTGTTTTCCCTCAAATATTTCTAAAACTTGATAACGTCATTCTTTATTGAAACACAATAAGACAATACCGTATCTAAAACATGAATTACAAAACGTAGTTTTTGTTTTAGAAGAAATAAAACATTGTGTACACTTTACAAAAAACAAGTTTAGTTAAAAACTAAATTAAGTTTGTATTTAGTATTCTGAGTTTTACTTTGAAAAGTGTTTTATTAATAAAGTTTATTTGAACTGAACGGCTGAACGGCTTTGAATCATCACTACAGATATTCAGAATACCACAAAAAACTTTTTCATTATTTTTACCTTGCTCCAACATTTTTATAAAAATAGCTAAAACAGATGCATGCATTAGTAATTTTTTCGATGCTTTTGTTTTGTTAAAAGACAAATTCTTAAACTTCCGGTGTTTTTCTGTAACTTGACACCCCATTTTGCTGATTGAGGTATTCATGCTTGTTGGGTGAAACAGCGCCCCCACGTGGCTTTAGGTTGTGTGACAGGTTAATTACTACACCCAACCTGAAGCTCTAAGTTAATTTTCTTCAAGTTGTTTTCTATGTTTGGACACTATTTTAATTTATTCACTGAGTTTATGGATCTTATGTCTGAATGATTTAAATATCAAAGTTAAGTTACTTAGCAACAGTAACATAATGACTCAAAAAGGACGTTTATTTAAAAAAAAGGCATAAAAAGACATTTAAACATCCTGAACTGAATATAATATTAATACCTGGTTGATTAAGATTTTTGTGTTCATAGTCTACTTGCATAATTTGTTTAAATAAAAATGTCACAAATATTTTAACCAGTAGAGGGCAGCATTGAGCCAAAAATCTGAGCCAATTCTAATGATCTAATTTTTAATCTGAGTTTAAACTTTAATTTTACATAAAATGTTGGTTATATATTTTTTAAAGCATTAAAAACTGTAATGTATTAAAAAAGACAAGTTTCTTTCTGTTTTACTTTTTTGTTCTTTTTATTTTAATCAACAATTTCCATCATGTCCAACATGATTTGTCTGTTTTTCTTCTCCTTTGAAAAAGTTTTTAATAAAGAGCAGAAAGTTTGAGCTGAGTTGTGAAGTGATGTCACCAGATGAAAGTCTGCAGATAATCTGTTGTCTCAGACCCTCGATCCCCTCTCACCTGGTTGTCAGAACCTGCAGGTTAAAGATCTCCTGGATCCTGTTTGTCCCTTTCACACAGACTGGTTTCTGCTCTTTAACCCACCTGATGTGACGCAGCTGATGGGACGACACAACATGTTGATGTTCTCTGACTCTTATCTGCTGAGCTTCAAACTGTCCACACAGCTATACAGCGGGTAAAATAAGTATTGAACACGTCACCGTTTTTCTCAGTAAATATATTACTAGAGGTGCTAATGACATGAAATTTTCACCAGATGTTGGTAACAACCCAAGTGATCCATACATACAAAGAAATCAAACGTGAATGTCCAGAAATGAATTTATTTGTAATAATGTGGAAT